TAATCGGCGTGAGATCAGCGAGAACTACAGGGCTAGCAAAGCTCACTGTTAAGTGAATTACACGTACATCAACTAGAAATTAACTCGATCATCGCGCACTCTCGATAAGACATCAAGGAAGTTCTAGACCTGAAAGAAGACTTTTTATTGTTCGTAAGTTTGTAAAACTTTTGTATATAAATCATTGTTTGTAATAACTGTTATTGTAAATTGTATTGTTGTTTATATATTAAAACATATTTCTATTTAAAAAAGAAAACTGTGTGTATCAATCTTGTTGGCAAATATCATCAATTGGATATATATCGGCATTTATTTCACCGCTGAATTTAAACTATCATTTAGCTCGCTCTCAGACCATTCAAAACTGTAATACGTAACATAGTAAATACCAAGTAACACGTTAGAAACGTGCTCATTCACAAATCAGTTCAAAGGACCGCTTAGACACACATTGCCGTTTCTACTTATTTTTGAGAAACAAAATTGATAGAAAACTTGATAAACAATATGGAACATCAGATAACACGAATAAGCCAATTCTATTCTTGATCTTTATACGGAAGGGTTTCTGTTTAAAGAGGGGCAGTGTTGCGTCAGCGAGGTCACGTGACTAGTGCCACGCCACCTCTCGAACCTTCGGGAATATTCGGGAGATTACTAGATATAGGGTAGTCTGGTATATATATAAGAGGGTGACAACGTGACGGAACAATGTGTGTGTAGACAGTGTGTAATTGATCTGCAGTCAGAGAGTATTATTGAAGTTGAGCATGTTCGTTGTTATAGCGTCTGTTTTAGCGCGATTGTTGAAATTAAGTGTATCGTAAAGTTATATTCGGAAATAAACCAGTTTTATTAAGTAAGGACTTGTGTCGCTAAAGTTTCGTCGGAACGAATTTACGGAAAATCAATTAACAAACGGAGACGTAACAACACTAAGGAAGGAGCAGTATTGCCACAGCAGAAGTCATGCGACGCTGGAAGCATGTATGCTGGAATTTCTTGAAGGATCATGAATTATCGAGGAACCCCGTGAATGTCCGAGTGTTTGCCAGGCGCCCTCTTTTTTAGTATATAAGCCCTGCAAATATAGCCAGCGATAGAGAGATATGCAGATAGATTGAATTAACAGATAATTGAGTCAAACGAACAGTAAGGCACCGTAAGTAAAGTGTGTGAATCACTGTGATTTACAGGGTGTGTTATAAAGGTTGTTAAGTTTAAAGTGACTGTGGACATTCTGTGTACTAAAAAGTTGTATCAAGAAAGAATAAACGAGTTTTAATTAAGAAAGCACTTGTATCGCTGAAGTTCCTCGGAAAGAATTTATACCAGAAATTAACAAACGAGCAGATACTTAACATTATGATTAAATTATAGTATTTTGGCATTTGTGTATAAAGTTAAAATCATAAATAATTTTCAACGTTAAACTGGTACACAATTAAAAACATTTTATTTAGGCCTATGATTAAATGTTTTTCTTTTATTGCCCTTTGAATTGTGTCTAACTACTATTTGTGCCATTATAAGTTGTAAATCACTTGGGGAACATAAAGCTCACGTTACGCTAACGAATTACATTACCCACGAGCTGTTCGCGTGCATGCCTCATGAAGTATTTTTACTATATTATTAATTCTTTTACCAAATCTAATCTTAATAAACCTAAAGAAATTCACATTTTTACACTTTATTTGCTTTTATAATAATATATATAAAGAATAAACAGGAAAAGCAATGAATAAAGAACTTACATGTTTGTTATTTTTGTTTTTGCCATCAACTGTCGATGACACCTAACTCTTCTTTTTTATACTAATGGTAGTAATGCACTAAATAATTTTTATTTAATCAAATAATGTACCAAATAACATATAATAATAACATTCAAAATGCAGACCATTTCCTTTAACCACCACAGTTTTTCTGGCTTTCTAACTATTCGACAAGAGCCGTTACACATTCATCCAAGCTAGTTATAAAAATTATGGTTTGTCTGAGCAATGACGATTTTATAGTGAGGATTTTACATTGAATTTCGTACTTATTGGAGGGGTGGTTAATAAAATAGAGAAAATGGGATGCCTTCAGAAAATTTATATCCTTTCTCACACTATGGGAAATTCAGAAATTTGTAAAATATTGCCTTATAAAATTAAGTTTGTTTCTTTGTTTTTGAATTTCGCGCAAAGCTACATGAAGGCTATCTGAGATAGCCGTCACTAATTTAACAGCGTAAGACTAGAGGGAAGGCAGCTAGTCATTACCACCCACCGCAAACTCTTGGGCTACACTTTTACCAAAGAATAATAAGATTGACCGTCACATTATAACGTTCCCACGGCTGAAAGGGCGAGCATGTTTGGTGTGACGGGGATTCGAACCCGAGACACGCAGACTGCGAGTCGAGCGCCCTAATCACCTGGCCATGCCGGGAATAAAATTAAGAACTTAAAACTTATTTGCCATTAACATATGGATTATTAGCTACGATTTTGTGTTATACTAATTAGTATAACATAAAAAAAGTAGTTTAATAAAATGTTGAATGTAGCCACTAAAACCTCGTGACATGCGCAGTAAATGATGCCCGTTTAGATAGGGTTTTTATTCATACAAGGAAACGTATAATATTGAATTATTGTTTAATAGCGATATTTTTCTTTGGTGATGTGCAATGGCTTGAACTAATTAATTTTAATATTTTTATATTTGTGCAATAAAGGTAAAAGATTATAAGTATTTTCTTTAAAATTTCATTGGTCGGTGAGTGTGAGGGAAGCGAGAATTTCACAAAATTTAGCGCTGGCCCTTCTTTAGTTAAAAATTTTAGTACAAAATATGAAATTAGAGCACTATTGACGTAGAATAATTTTGAGGGGACAGCTTTTGTTGGTTAAGTTTCGCACAAAACCATTCCACAGCTATCTGCGTTAGCCGTCCATAATTTAGAAGTGGTAGAGTAGAGGAAAGGAGGCTAGTCAATACGACCCCCAGTGGCACAGTGGTATGTCTGCAGACTTACAACGCTAGAAACCGGGTTTCGATACCCGTGGTGGGCAGAGCACAAATAGCCCATTGTGTAGCTTTGTACTTAACTTCAAACAAACTAGTGAACACTACTCACTGCCATCTTTCAGGTCCTCTTTTATTAATGAAAAGTGGAATTGAGCATCACATAATAACGCACCATGTATGAAAGAACGAGCATTTTTCTGTGATGGGTTTCGAACCTGGACTCAGAAATTACGAGTGAATCGCCCTAACTACCAAACCGTGATAATATAAAAATGCAAAGTCGTGAATTTCAATTTAATCTTGTAAAGCAATAAAACATTCCAAGGGAATATTTCTTACCATTAACAGCAACAACATAGTAGCATCATCACCGAGTTTAAGTTTCACAATGTTTTATAAATAATTTAGAATTTAATTACTAGGAAATTTTTGAATGCAGCTGTAAATATATATATATTTAGATTTAAAAAGATAATATTAAACGAAAGGCTTATATCATGTTTTAGGCTTTATATTTCGAGTTTCTCCACAGAGTGGCACTAACATCGTCAAGCCATATAAATTTTCATCTACCGGTAGTTTTTTTTGTAAGTTTTTAAATTCAAAATGATTAGTAGTGATGTGATACTACCTATGCATAAGAAGGATTTGCTTCCGCCAAATCGTCGAGATCGAAGTCTTTTTATATTTATGGTAGTTGGAATTCCTTTCGCTGTTTTATGGGAAGGCTGCGTGGTTCTTCCTAATTACCACACCCACTTCTCCACAATTGTACTCATTCACTTTCTCGCTTCCTGCTTCATAGTATTTAATATCTTTGGTAACATGTATCTTCTTAAACGGGTTGATGCATCTGGCAAACAAAAATCTTTGCCAGCGATTCTGAAACAAGAATGGCGTTACTGTCATTTGTGCGAGTTAAATTCGCCTCCTAGGTCTTACCACTGTCCAATTTGTAACGAATGCATACTTAAGCGTGATCATCACTGCATGTTTGTTGGTTGTTGTGTTGGTTATCACAACCAGAGATACTACTTATTGACAATTTTATATATTTGGATTGGTAGGTACAACTTAGCAGAAGTAAACTATCATCACCCAAAGTATTTCATTGACATATTTTTATTATATTTTTGAGCATTTCATTACTGTATAATACTGATAATTTTTTAACGGGTGAGTACTATAAATAATAATTATTTTTTGTTGTATTTTAATCTGTTAAATATTAACTTACTGAGAATTTACTCGTTATTGTATAATAATGTGTGCTGTAATAACTGAAAATGAAATAGTTATTCATTTATGGTTAAGTAAATATGTGTTTAAAAATTCACAGTGATAACTGAATAAAACCAAAAGATGCATTTAAATGTGTAGGCTGAAAAAGCCCTTCTATAGTTTACATATTTCTCAGTATCTTGTAGAATATTAATAAGCATTTCTGATCACATGTAAGTTGATAATATAGATTATAACTAAACAGTATCTTGTAAACTAATTAATGAAGCTAATTCTGTATAACAAGTTGACTAGAAGTACTTAGTCATATCACAGTACGTATAAGAAAAGTAATGATTAGAATGGAATTGAATTGTCCGTTGGGTCTCTAATGACTTTTTTGAATTCTTGCAGTGGATTAAATACATGCAATGCAGGGTGTTCATTCATACATTTATTCCTTGACATAGATGGTTTGCAACTGTTTGGAGTTTTTTGTTTATCTTTGAACAGTGCAAGCTATGCAGTAAGCCACATACAAACTGTAATCAGGAACAATAGAGCTGAACACTATAGTCAGATGGCTGTTATCATTTATGAAGGAGAGGATAATTGATAAAATGGTCCCTCTCTGGGCACTGCAAAAGAAGAACAAGTTTAGGTTTTTCAAAGATGCAGGTTGTTTTCAAAACAAACATTAAATGTCAGTTGATTTGTATAATGCAAGAAAGACAACTGCTGGGTTGCTAGTTATTTCAAAACGCAAAGCAGACGAAGATATGAAAGAAACCATTGGGAAATATGAATTTCATGTGGCTCCTCCATCTAACTTCCATTAGGATTGCACGATGGTTATGCTTTCAGGAAAAGTACAAGTTTTGTCATCAATAATAGAGCTGATATTGCCAGATAGTATATTAACTGCTTTTGATAAGGATAAGTCTGGATCTGTTTTGATTATTGATACCATACATGTGCATAGTGAATTGCGAAGACATCAGGATTTGTGCATGCATTGTATTCCTCACAGATGTTTGTTAAAACAGTAATGTGAATCAGCTTTGCACATCATGAGGCTAAAATTCTCTTTGATCAGTATGTTGAAAGATATGTTAAAGAAGCAGTTTGCAAGATGAAAACATAAAAAAACTGAAGCTGTTCATTTCTGTGTGAATGACAACATCCATGCAAAATCAGTGAAAACATTTTTTTCTCGGATTAAAACAAAGTTAGAACTGACTAGGCACCTCAGTGAGAAAATACTAGACTAGGGAGTGGCAACTTGAGGCTCCATAGCTCTCACTGTCCAATTATTGAAATAGGGGTTACATGCATTATGGCTCTTAGTCAGTATCTTACATTTTTACCAAATTAAAAAAAATGGCTCTTGTTATTTGGGTTTCTGACCCTTATATTAGATCATTACAAAGGAAGTACAACTCTGGTTTTCTTTGCCTGCAATACCTATATCAAGATTAACTGTCAGTGGTTTCATATTGTGAGCATGCCAGAAATGCTAGATGGTAAACATTATCTAGAAGATGGTGAACAGCTTGTTATCCTTCATGCATTCAATGTTATGCCCGAAGATCTTGATACACTGCTTGATGTATTCTTTGTAGATACTGATGTATCTGGTTTACAATCAGGGTACTTTTTCACAATTGCCTAATTTGATCACTTTTATCAGAAAGTCAGGTGAGAGATTGAAGATTAAGAACAGCTATGGTAAACTTGGAGAAGAAAGCAGAGGCTCTTATAGGCTAGTATGCATTCAAAAGCACTGATAATACAGGGTCATTTTCTTTCTTGATGATGATGCTATCTTGGATGTATTTGCAGATTTTGGAGTTTGATTCAACTTTAAGAACTTTATTTTCAGACAAATGGAAAGGTATATGGGCTTGCTTTACAAGACAAACAATGTAGATGTTGACTGTTTGAAAGAATTATGCAAGATTATGGTTTCTAAAGGTAAAGAAGGATAGCAGTTATTGCCAATGATAGGTACACTTGTTCCTCATATATAGAGGGTGCATTACATGGCATAAGTTTGTAAAGCTTCTACAACAACTTTCACTCCTACCAATAACTGATTTTTATTGACATCTAGTAACCCATCTTATTCTTGTGTGCAATATTGATTCTCCCACTCCAGAGGAATGCTGGAGTTATGAAAGTGTAAGACAAAATGCAAAAAGAGAATGTGGCTGTTGCACAAATGGTCTAGTTTGTACAGATCTATGTGGTTGTGAGGATGGTAGCCAGAACAGTTGTGAAGATGAAATAATGGAGCTTAATGAAATGAACTGAAGTATTTATATGTCTTGATAGTTGAAATACAAGATGTAGTCTTTTGAACTGAAAACTTTGAACTTTTATACTAAATAGTCCCAAATTTTTCAAACCTTTGGGGCTAAAATATCTGAGGTACCCCACTTGTGACATTTATCCTGTTTGACTGAACAACTTTTATAACAATCCTCTGCTTTCTTCCATCCAGCCACTCTTCTATCCAAATAGTTAACTTATTCTTCAAACCTGTAGAGATAATTTGTTTTATAAGCATTTTATGTGGCACCTTGTCAAATGCTTTCTGAAAATCCAGATATACCAAATTGCACATCTTCACAGCTATCTTCCTTAAATTTATATACCATGCCAAAGTTCCCATATTAAACCCACTCACTGCATCAATCGTATCTAACAGACTGTGAACACTTAACTCCTACACAAGTCTTAACCATTGTATTTTTAGTCTGGGAATGTATACTCAACACTATATACCAGTAACCTGTTAACAACATTGTTATGTCAAATGTTTGAGACTCAAATACATTACAATGTTTTATTGCTACCTTATCTTCACTCTAAATTAATTAAGTTTATCTTTAATTATATGGAAGTGACAAATAACTAGTCTTTAGTTGATACTTGTGTAATAATACAATGTATTTAGCCTGATTTATAACCTACCTGTAAGCTGAATTTAAACTAATGGATCTAAAGTCAAGTAACCAAGTTTATCCTTAAACTATGAAGAGACAATTAACTAGTGTTTAGATTGCATTTGTTTAACAAAACAATGTATTTAACCTGTTTTGAGTTACCAATAAGTTGAATTATAGCTAAGCTTAAAGTATCATTACACACCGTAAGTCCAAACTATCGACGTAGTACAGTGTACACCATTAAGCTCTAATTTAAAGCTTTAACCCTACTAATTTTATTTATGAATCTTCTTAAATTTAGTTATTCTTTTGCTTTTTAACCCAAATACAACAAATGGTAATATTCAAAAATCTGCAAGTGGTTAGATTTCTAATGTTTTCTCTCTCTTGTAGCACCCTCTGATAAGAAATCATGATGGAAATATTTTGATTACTTGGATAGTTAGAAGAGTCAAAAACAGTGATAATCAGAAGCACTTATTGTGATTAGTTGGTTATTTTTGTGACACTAATTAATATAATTGATGTTCGTAGGTAATCGATTATATTAGAGTAACCACCCAGCTTTATTCATCACTATCTTATTTCATGCTAGTTCTTGTCTATTAATTCCCTCTTTTGGAACTTAGTATTCTTACTTTGCTTGCTGTAAGTCAGTAGAGATGTTCTGATTTTTCTTTGGAACTTAACTTCAGCTTGTGATTTTTCCTGTTGTGGAATGACTTAGTTTAATAAAAAAAATCATCATAAGTTTTATATCCAGAACATTACAATAGATTGTTTATGCTTATCACTTTCTTAAGATTTTGTATATATATCTTTGTTTCAATGTGATGTAATTTTTTCTATACTGGAAACTTAGGTATTCCACAAAGTGTTTGAAGTCTGTTAAATAGTGGTCCATTATCAGTTTTTATTACTTGTATTCTGAAGAGCTCTAACATATGATTCAGACTTCATGTAACAGTTCTTGCTGACATAGATGTTACAGTTTTAATGATAGAATACAAAATTTTCATCAGCCATTACAAGCAAGTATTGTCATAAAAGTCAACACTAAGCCCCTTCTATGATTCTCTGGGTTAGATGTTAGATGTATGACAAAAAAAAAATTTGAAATTTGATCATCCACAATTTATGCTAGATTGGGAAATTACATGTGATAATGTGACATAGCTGTATTATATGCTGTATAAGAGTGTGCACCTTTAAGAATAAAGTAATATTATTTTAATATAGTTAATTCTTCTTGTACTTTTAAGTATGACTAGTTTTGACAATTCATTGTGTTTGGTATGGCCTGTTGATATGGTAGCTGTGATGACAGATTGCGGTGTATCATCTTTTATTGTTTTTTTTTTCTCCATATTATGTGCTAATATGTCATCACCGATATTTATGGTGCTAGGAATATCATCTAAGACTTCACGTATTGAGTTTTGAAAAACTTTTGCTGCTGTTGATTTCCCAAAGTTTACTTTCATATACCTAGTGAGGTCTGTGTGAGTATAGAATGTGGTTTTAGTTCTAGCTGGTGAAGTCCTGCTTTCAGGTGTAACTGAGAAAAAGAAACTTGAGCTTCATTCAAATCAATCACCATTGGAATTATAAGTCACTCAATTTCAATGGTTTTTAGTTGGCAGTTTCATATCTAAACATCTTCTGATATAGATAAAAATGGGTGAATGATTTCTCTGGTCTTTGAGCCTCACTCTGTACTATAGACCAAACGATGGTAATCTAATGCTTTTCTGTCTTGTTGAATGTGGCTGGCCTGTACTGAGGATTTGAACAGCAGCACCATGCATAGTAGTTCATTTCACAGGTATGACACAATGTTCTGTTGCTCAGCAAGGCCCATTTTTATGGGAATATGATTTCCCACAGTGCATAAATGTTTCTTAGATGTTTTTTTTTGACAGAGTAAGTTGAGTACTTTTCTGAGACCTATCTGATTTTTGCTTCCATTCATAGAGCCCATTAATCAATTACATTCAGTTAATTGATGAATATAGTGTTCCTGAAACCATGATATATACAACAGATAATCTTAGTAGTTTTTTGTAACAAAGAAAGTGTGAACAAATTTAGTGGCAATAGGAATCTAATCCAAGAAATTCAAATCGTGAGCAAATCACTAAACCTGAAAAACTTGAAATGAAAAAAACTTAAGATTAAAATCGGCCAGAACACAGATAACCCATTATGTAACCCCGTGCTTAACAACAAATCTAATAACAATATTTTAATTACTTGGATAGTTGTGGTAATTGGATATTTTAATTTAATTAACCATTTAGTTTACTTGACAGTAATCATTATTATTACTGCTTTAGTTCTGTGTTGACTATTTATAGTTCTGATAATTGTAGCACCCTTCCAAAGAACATAATGGGTGGTGGGCTTCTTGGAAGGTTATATGTTTTGGCTGTGTTGAGGTGCAAATTTGAATAGTCTAACATTTCTGTTATCTATTAAAATCTTGAAATTTACACTGTTTGTTCCTTCTGTATATAACCCTGTATGAAACTGCTTTATTCTTTTGCCTAAGTGTTGGTGAGCTTATCAAAAATTGTTGGCTTCAAATTCTGCTTTTTTAGTATTAAATTGTCTGTTAAGCTGTACTGTATTTGTAGCACACCTGTCATCACCTTCTGTGTTTAGTAATGTTTCAAAGATGGAGTAGGTCACTGCTTAAAAACACAAAAGAATCAGTTATATGCTTCTGAGATTCACAGAGCTTACAAGTACATAAAACATGAGTATGTTTAGAAGTGATGGCTTGCTTGTAGTAATACATATTTAATAGCAAACACATGAATTTTTAACGAAAGTATAAAAAGTAATAACATGTTAGCCACCCATCCAAAACTCACTCAAAAATTACCTATAATAGAACACTACATGATAAACTTGTGCTTCATGTATGATGTATGTACTGGTAACATCCCATTGGCAATAGAGTAAATTGGAATAAAGCTAAAAAATACAATTATCAGGTTGTTAAATATAAAATAAGGTTTAGATAAAAATAATAATTTTGGCACAGTTTTAGAAAAAAAGGATTTTTGTATTTGTACTGTTCACAATGCAATAGACTTTTAAAACATTCACACATCAATATTTTTTACGTACATGCACATATACACTACAAGTATATCACATAAAAAAACTAGCTTGTTCTCATCAAAATATAATACTGCTTTAAAGTTTTTCACTTGCAATAAAATGGCATACCAAGTTTACAGAAAAATATAAAACACTTATTTTGGTATATGATTACATTAGAATAGACAAAATACAAATAACCCTGAAATTGACTACTGAAACATTGTTTTAGAAAAAAAATAATTTCAAAATGGGTGTAGACCTACTTGAATCCTATGAGCCAAAGCCCAAAGATTTTTTTCACATAAACAGCATTATTAAGTGAAGTTTTTATGTACATATATATATATATATATCTGTGTGTGTGTGTGTGTGTGTGTGTGTGTTTATTTACACACACAAGAAGGGTATGTGTTCTGTACAGACAAATCTTTTGAATAATGCTGCTCTTGTACTGTGTAGTTGGACATGAATGAAACCTACTAAGTAAAATGTTTTTTTCTTGTGTTTATATTTAAAGTAAAAAAATGTAAAACATAGAATGACTATAAATGAAATATATTTGTACACAACATCTTTTATATAAATGTCTTTCTGGATCATTGCCATCTTTGCTTAAGACCTTGATTTTTTCTCAATTTCACTCTTTATAAAGTGGTTATAAAATAGTGAATTTTTAAAATTATGGTATCAAGAAGTGTAAAGATCAACTGTTGTCATGTTTTTCTTGTGTGTGTAAATTGCATTTGTACATCATTTGAAACCTGTACTTATTTTCTTTCACCTGTTGTATTAGCTCTAGAGCATCAAAAATCAATGAACTATTAAGGCTAATTGCCACAGATTATGTAGCAGATAAACTCATGCTTCGACTACAAAGAGTATTTAAACTTATGCCTAATTGTCAATTTTTAGGCACATGTTGGAATTTGTATTGAGAAATAATGTGTTTTTTGTATGTTTGTTTATGTTACTGAAGTAATTGTCTTTAAAGTTAATGTTATAAACATTGTAGTTTTGTACTTGTATAGAACAATGAATTTTAAACATCATTCACTTTTGCACTCATATAAACGTAAAAGTACCACTGTACAATTAACCAATAGGAATATTGGGTTTCCGTGTGAGCTAGAATTCATGAACAAATGAACTGATTGATATTTTTCTTTTAATTACATGAATCTTAATTCTTCAGGTGGATGTCATTAATGTGGGGTTTATAATAAAATCTAAATGGACATTTTTGTAGTTATTCTTCTATTTCTGAAGCCTGTGTAGGTTTACTTGATGCAGAATTATAATACGTAATTATTAAATTAATTATTAATTATCAAAAACTTGTATTTTTTTAAACTAAACATTTAAACAACATAGATTTGGTATCACATTTCAAACAGTTTATTTATTACAGTCAAGAAAAGGTAAATTTTATTACATGTAATTTTATTATAAAAACATGTTTTTACTTTATTTGTAATAACTTTTAAAGCCTGATATAATTCATTTTCAGGAGCCATATATGGAGTTTCTTATCAGTGGGACTATTGTTTTCAGCACCTTGGTGGGTTAAGACCTGGGTCTGTTCTTATACTGATAGCACCACATTTTGCATGGGTTTTTGGTGCGGTCTCATCCTTTGGATTCCTGGTTGCTGTTCTTCACACTTTAGGAATAGTTGTCTTAGTTGTAACTAGTTATCTTCTTTTGATACAACTGCTGGTTATACTCTATGGACAGACACAGTATGAAAGGAAACACAATATAGAATCCTATAACCTTGGTTTTAAATGCAACCTATTGGATGTTCTTGGAACAAGATGGTACTTTGTCTGGCTTTTTCCTTGGATACCTTCAACCCAGAATGGTGATGGCCTACATTTCTTTAATGTCAGTGATTTGGAAAATGTGAAAAACATCTAACCTACTCATAATTTTCTGATTGAAGATTGTATGAACAATTGTTTATCAGGGGATTGCAAAACAGTATTTTGCTTTCATACTTTTTTTTTATAAAATTTATTGGGAAGGTACTGTAATGTTTAAATTAAAAGAAAAAGTAGTATATGTTATCCTAAAAGAAATATTGATTATTCCAATTTTCATATTCATTAAGCTGTTATTAAGCCTTCCTGTTTGATCATTGGACCCCAAAACAAATGCAGGGTAAAAAATATGTAAGAAATGTATTTCATGAATTAATAACAGAAAAATAAAATGTATATCAGTAATTAAGAACATTTCTTTAAAATTAGATCATACTTTCTAAGAAGTTTTTGACAACATTTTTTTTATTACAAATGCAGCTCCATGTATAAAAGCTCATTATTTGTTTATGGGCAATGTGTATGGCATAATATATGTACACAAATGTATAAACATACACTATTAAAAGCAATTGAGAGATATAATCCAAGTTTCTATATCCTGGCTATTACAAGACCCATTTGGTGGTATTAAGTAATATCAATGGTACCACTGAATTCATTTTTATGTAAACCAAGTGTCAGGTGGCCAGTCATATGATCTAACATTCATATTTTAGTTGCATATGAAAGTGAAGGAATAATGTTTCTCAGTCAGTTAATAGTGACAGCTGGAGAAAGAGTCTAGATTGACAATGAAGCGTATCATGAACTCAACAAAGACATTTGGACATTTCCATGATGTTGAGTACAATAGGTTGACTAAAAGTTGGTCAACCACAAGTCTTTGCAGAATGGCTACAAGTCTGACAAAGTATGGTTAGCAGGAGATGAATTTGTCTTTAGACCACAGATATGGTTGGTTGGAGACCTGAACAAGACAGACCATTGTCAACAATTCCACATGATGATTGGGCTTGAAGCAACCAGTGTGCTTCAGCGAATCAACTGTTCAAAACAGCAAGTGGATGATAAATCAGCAGGCATATGGTTAGAAACAGGTTTCATAATGGTTATCCTTTATGCCAGATGATTCATCTAACTTGTGTTCCAAGACAACCCATCTTCAACATTGTCAAGGCTATGGATTGGTCAACTGAGAAGTGGGCAAATGTTGTGGAGATGGTTCCTTTACTTTACCTTGGCACACATTTCGATTTAAACCATTCATCTTAAAGATTGAAAGGATTTCAGAGCTGAATGTAATCAGGGGTGTTCAGAAAATGTGTTTGGCTTTGCCCTGCTTGTGTTTTTTTTGGGAGGCTTAACTTGAAAAGACATGAAAAAAAGAAAAATTAAAGTAAACAGCGAAGATTTGATTTGGCAGCAAGCAAAAGGTGTTGAGAATACCAAGGAAGGTCAGAACAAAATCTAACATGAAAACAAAAAAGAGGCAATATGGGACTTATGGTCTTTCAGGGCAGTGGGGGGAATCTATAGATCCAATGCCTAGAATTAGATGTGGGAGGAAAGGGGAGAACCCAGAGAAAACCCACTTTCACTAGCTGATGCCAATAATTGCCAGTTAGTGCCCCATAAGGCTTTACAGATTTGAAGAAGGAAGGAAACAGTGGCTAAAGGGTTAATGTTTCACAAACTCATTCCTGGTATACAGATTTTTGAAACAATGTTTATGATAAATATTGACATGGGGTGAACTTTCATCATCACTGGACAGGGGTTGGCAGAAAAAGGAGAGCTGGATACTTGGCTTAACTGTAGTGTTGTCTGTTCTCGGTGAATAGAAAGATGGGAATGGGTGTAATTGTCGAAGGACACTGGTCGACGAGGGGGATGGTTATGGCCACACCGACCTTTATGTACAATAGCATAACACTTTGAGTGCCATAAAACTTAGAGATGTAGTCTTACAGCCATTAGCATTACCATATATAGGTGCATTCATTTAGAACTTTTGTCTAATGGATGGTAACATGCATACCCATCATGCTCAACTGTTTAGCAAGTTCCTAGAAATAAGGGAATTGAGCTAAGGGACTGGCCAGCACACTTATTGTGCTTGAGTATTATTAGGCATGTATGAGTTTCTCTAGAAAGACACTAGGTAACATGTGATTCACCTCCAAGCGGTGTTAATTAACTGAAAGCAATTCTGATGAAGAGTGAGCCATATTACTTTAGTAGCTATTTGATTCACTCAGTTTGAGCTTGCTACATCAATATATGCATTAGATTAGTATCTGATGTGAACCTATGCTTTTCTAACAATTTTTCTGATCATTTATTAGGATTTAAAGTCTTTAGTACCAAATGAGCATTTGAAACATGGACTCTTGTAATAGACACTTGCATATCATCCACATGATTGTCTGACAATTTGCATAAAAATAAACTCAGCAATGCTATTGACAATGGTTAATAGCAATAGTTGTGCCTTATAGCCAGAATATAAATAAAACTTATCATCCCTTGATTATTTTAGCAGTATTGTTTTTGACGAAGAAAACTTCAAATTTAAGTAGAAACAAATAAGCTTGTAACAAATTGTAAAGATACACTTTGGATTCTTGTTTGTTTTCTAGTCAGTTTAATAAGTGTGATGCTATGAAATACATGTATTCTAAATGTTGATGACATTTTTTTTTAAGCATGATTTTTGTAAATGTTGTAATTGGTTTCATAAGTTTTGCAATATTCCTTATTGTGATCCTTTGTGTATTGAGTTTTTCATATCTTGTATCTACACAGTGTGCAACTATATATAGTTTATGGTTTACCTTTAGTTATTTTAGCCATCATCTGCCTGTAGTCTTCACTCTCATAAAGTATCCAAGAATAAATGTATAGATATGACATTTAACTATTGTGTGAGTTAGGCAAAGTGACATTAAAAGCTCTATTTGGTGTTTTTCAAGAAAGTTTAATTCAAAATTTTCTCACTTTTCACTGATTATGTGTATGTAAAATATTGTTATTTTATATAGGAGATACCTTTCTAATTTAATTTTGATGAATGACAAATGTCAAAATAGCTATTAATCAGCACTCTTATTTGCAAAACCAGCTAAAAAAATGTATTATGCAAAATGACCTATCTATCAAAAACTAAGTATGTGTGTGTGTTTGAACTATAATGGTATTATTGTTATAAAACATGTATATGTATTAAAAGTGCTATTTTTGTGCAAAAATATTGCATGTATGTTTATTGAATATATGTGTGTATTAAACATTTAGCAATAGTTAGACATGGATACAAAAATACTGTAACATTTTTCAACCACAACATTTGAAACTTGACAGGTTAAAAAGTATATACTTTGTTTAAATTTGTGGTTTCATTGTACCTTAATGTGTTTAAGGATTAGCTCATTACACATGAACATAGTTTATATATTACAACAATGACATTAGTGGCTATTATTTATAGCATGTGTCTTCTTAGGTACTTTTGTTAACTAATGAAGTACGATTTTCACATATTTTGAAGCTGATTAAAGAATGAATAAGTAACATATGTTGAATAGAAATGAGGTTGAAACAAAATATGGCCATATTAAAATACACAATATACAATGAACAAAGTTTGTCAGATTTTTGGTGACCACATCTTGGAGCAGTCATTTCTGAGAATACTAGGCTTGTCACATAGAGTCTAATGGTTACCTGTAATAAGTGATCCAACTGTATTACACAACTCTTTTATTGAAGTAAACTTATTAAAAAAACACTCCTTAGCCAACACATTTTATGCTCAATTTCAAACTCCAGCCTTTTTATTGTGTTCAGTATCCATTCATCAGTGAAATTTTCATTGTTTGCTTGATTTGTCATCATGGTTGAGAATAGGTTTCATTATTGCACTATATCCAGGATTCAAACAACACAAATTAACAAGTTTTCACTTGTTAGTTGAAAAGTCTGTCTGTATTTCCAGGCTTCTAACCTGGTTGGTTCTTTATGGTGAAATTCCTGCAACAATGAAATTCAACACATGAAATCTTCCAGTGATGCATGATGTACTCTAGCAGTAAATTTTCTTTCATACAAATAGTGGTAAACTGTTTTATGAATGTCATAAATGCAAACAGTTCTTTCTTTACACAATAATGGCGGCCCGGCATGGCCAGGTGGTTAAGGCAATCGACTCGCAATCTGAGGGTCGCGGGTTCAAATCCCCATCACACCAAACATGCTCGCCCTTTCAGCCGTGGGGGCGTTATAATGTGATGGTCAATCCCACTATTTGTTGGTAAAAGAGTAGCCCAAGAGTTGGCGGTGGGTGGTGATGACTAGCTGCCTTCCCTCTAGTCTTACACTGCTAAATTAGGGACGGCTAGCGCAGATAGCCCTCGTGTAGCTTTGCGCAAAATTCAAAAACAAACACAATAATGTCACTGGGCAGACAGCATTTTGGTCACATATTCTATAACATGTTCTATACCATCCTGTACTTGTGATGCAGGTAGTGGACAAAAAAAATTAAAACACCTGGGTAAATGAGGGACAACAAGTATATGCAATGCAAAGGCTACCACACAGGTGTGGCTCATCCATTAAGTCAGTAAATAACATCCCAGCATGCGTAGGGTCATGTATAAAAATGTTGGACAGACCTGGTTGCCTATAATCATGGCTGCAAGAGGAGACCTCAGTGACTTTGAAAGAGGGATGATTGTTGGAGCATATTTGGCAGGAGCTTCAGTGACCAAGACAGCTCAACTTGCTGATGTGTCACGAGCAACGGTGTCTAAAGTGATATCATTATGGAACCCCGAGGGAAATATATCATCAGCAAAGGGCAACAGTGGGTGGAAGTGCATATTCTAAGAATGTGATGTCCTTGCATTAATTCAAACTGCGAGGCAAAACAGGTGAGCAACCACAGATCAGTTTAATCAAGAACGGTCTGCTAATAACTCCACAAAACGAGATACCATAGTCGGGTTACAGTGCACAAACTGCTCATCACACCTGGCAGTGCACAGTTGCGCATCCAGTAGTGCAAAGAACACAGGCTATGGACTACTGAGCAGTGGAGAAATGTGATATGGTCAGATGAATCATGTTCTTGACAAATGGATGAATGCATGTGTGGTGCCAACCTAAAGAACTCTACAGCCCTGAGTATTTGGTTCCAACAGTGAAGGGTTCTGTAATGGTGCGGGGTGCATTTTTCTGGCATGGTTTGGATGCACTCACACTCTCAGAAAGCAAAGTCGATGCCAATCGTTACTTACTGGTACTGAGTGATCATTTTCACCCCATGTTATAGCATTTCTGTCCTGCAGAGAGGGGTGTCTTTCAAAATGACAATGCCCCCGTCCACAGAGCATGAGTAGTTGCCCAATGGTTTGAGGAGCATGACAGTGATGTTATCCATATGTCATGACCTTTTCAGTCACCAGATCTAAACCTAATTGAGCATGTATGGGATATTCTAGAACAATGCCTGAGACAGCATTTTCCACTTCCATCAACTAGGCGTGAGGTGATTGACTTTGTTGTAGAAGAATGGTGTTGCATTCCTCCTACAGAATTCCAGACACTGGTAGACTCTATGCCACGGCACATACAGGCCGTACTGGCCACACATGGTGGGCCAACACCCTATTAAGGGACTTTACATTGGTGTTTCCATTTTTTTGGTCACTAGCTGCTCTGCTCCGCTCCAATGCCACTGGCATCTATCTCCAAGATGAATGGAGCATCTTTCCTTTGATACGTCACTACAATAGCATGAAGTAAGGTACATTTTAGGAACTGGGAATGACTTTACAATCTTCAGTCTATCTAAAATGGGAATCAACCTTAACACAGTGGTGACCCTGTTGTAGAGAAGCTAGTCATAAAGCATCTATTATACGAAACACAACTAAATAAGCTTTAGAATCGCTTCTTATTAATAGATTTGGACTAGTCTGACATTTTTTTTTATCTCAGCAGCAGGGATGTCGTTTCAAAAAAGGTAACAAGGAATTTAGATAAATCAACATATATGTGGACAACCTTTCCAAAATGTGGTTTAATCAATTGGTATTTCATAAAAAAACATATCAAGTAATATTGTGTTGAACAAATGCAATCAAATGTTTTTAAAAGTCAGTCGACAAAAGTGATATAACTCATTATAAGTTAAGCTTATAAAAATACCTATACAGTATTAATAGGATTATTACCTTCCCATAGCAATCTCTAAGGAATTTTAAAAATGCGATTTTCATTTCTGATGCATAATCCTTCCGCTTCATAACTCTAAAAATATAGAAGACATGCAATGCATGATATTATCTCCATTCTTTGAATGGGTTTTTGTTATACTACACATAAAAAATCCACAAGTGAGTTTTATTGCTTTTTATAAAACTGTAATTGTTGACTAACTTTTAATTAAGTAATAAAAATAGTTTTCACCTGCTAATGCAAACAATTCTGAAATTTTAATTTCATGCATGATATTTGAATGTAATATTGTTATTATATTGTATAATGTCTGCATAATTACTTAACAATGCAGCCACGACAGTCACTAAACAACTATGAACTAACAGTCATATATGTGTATGAATGCCCATTTGCACTTGATGACTCTTGAGGTTGTGAGATTACATCACATAATAAGCATTGGATTTTCAGGTTAGATTGGAAAAAAATGGTGGTTGAAAAACTATTTTTGGTTGTTTGTGACGAAACTCGTCTTATATGCGATTATATTAAATCCTGCAAAATCTGGGAAAGATAATTAAACCACTTACACCATAACAAAACCTAATGTGCATTTGCACTATAGAACATTTTTCTGCCTTACATTTCAGATTTCCATGTCACAAGCATTGAATACAATGATTTATTTTTTTCAACTGTGGCCTGAAACGTGACAAATCAACAAAATTTTGTCCAGGTAGATAAGACACCATTGCTATTGCAAACCACATCATGGGAGTTCTATCAGTCACTCTAAAGTCAATGGTACATTATGAAGGCCGAATGGCATGACATGATATTCATATTACATTTTATGGATGCTGAGAACAATCTTGGCTTTGTTTTTGTCAGTTAAATTAGCCTGATAGAAACAAGAAACCGGTCTTTCTAAGTAGGTGATCGAGTGAATCCACTGGTGGCTCCATCATTGATAATTTTTAAGCAGTCTCAACAGAAACCCTGGGATCCTCAGTAGGTTGATCTTTGCTCAGACCAGCTGTTTTTTGTTTTTTTTTGTATTCTGTAAACCACGTCATCGATTCCTTTAAGTACAACATATGGTTGTTCCAAATGTTTGCTTAGTTTTGGAGTTATTCTTTTTTAACAGTGGTGATTGTACAGCCATACCATGTCACCTCAGTGAAATGCAGTCTTATCAGCATTAACATCATAAACATTTATTTTATCACTAGTTTATATAAAAGCCCTTCCCAGGTAACAGTCATGTATGACATTGATGGTATTCTTAATCTCTCTACTGAGTGACTATTCTATGGATGTGAATATAAAAGATCCATTGGCACTTTAAGTTCTATCCTAAATATCAGCGATTATGATGTGTGTTGCCTGTAGCTTAATGTAATGCTGCTAAATATCTCATAAGTAGCAGTGGAAAAACTTGATCTCGTGGTTGTGGTATTCATCCACATAAATAGCTAGTTGAGTTAAAAATGTATGATTGTATTTCTTTGTCATACCATCAGAAGATGGATGAAGAGCTGTTGTCCTGATATTTTTCATTCCAAGGATCTGAGATATTTCTGGAAACAAAGCTCATTCAAAGTCCCACCCCTGGTTGGAATAAAGTTCCATAGATGCACTAAATCTTGAAACAAATTCA